GTTCTCACCGGCGGCAACGGCACGGGAGGGGCGGCGGCTACCGGCATGTCAGAATCCGAGTCGGAGATCTCGCCGTCCTCCACATCCTGCTCCATACCCCGCGCCTCCAGCGCCATCTTGGCCCGAGCCGGTGCGTGCTGCCGGCGGGGCTGAGGTGGGGGAGGGGCAGGAGCGCAAGCGCCGCGCGTTGCCGAGCGCGGGGCTGAGAAGAGCCAATGGCGCCGCCCCCCGCGGCGGGGGCGGGGCTGCCCCTGGTGACTGCAGGCCCTGGCACGCTTTGCGCGGCCTCGCGTGGCCTACTCGCCCCGGCATGCCTTGCACCGGGCAGCCCAGCGGGGAACTCCTTGCGCAGCGCGAGCTGGCCGCGGGGCATGCCGGGACTTGGAGTCATTGGTCCTGCCCTCTACCGAGGGGACGTGTCAGGGGTCTCAGCAATATTCTGTGCCTATGACGCATTGCAGCCTTCCCCCCCCATCCTCTAGCCATGTCCCTTGACGTCATGTTTGTACGTCACGGCGCGGCTAGTCTGTTTCCGTGCTCGGCCTCACCTCATGATAAGTTACTACGTCAGTGCTTGTGACGGAAAAAGCACCCCTCTCTGCCTACTGATGCGGGGGCGCAGTCTCAGTGGCCCCACAGGCCTTCTTGCCACACGTGTGTTTCCATCTAGCATCCACCTGCAGCTGTCCTACATTCGGCCTTCTCATTGGGCCCTTGCTCCGTGGACTACAGCCCCTCATTCTCTCCATAAACTCATTTTGGTAATAGCGCTTCACAGTCAGGTGGCACCTACCTGGTGAGGCTACATTTGCAATGTGGTCCATCATTTAACCTACAGCACACAGTTAACATAAGATGCCACTCATTGGGCGTGTCTACACATTCATTAATATGCCTTAGATTCTGCACATTTAGTTTAGCACTTCTTTAATAAAGTACTAAATGTGCAATATCTAAAGCTGCTGCGCCGGCAAGCAGTTATTTAGTGATGCTTAGTGCGCATTAGCCTAATAGTGCTGTGCAGTAGGCTATTAGCATGGTGTTTGCTGTGTTATTAGGCCAATGTGCAGTAAGCATCTCCTGCAGACGCGCCCACTGGCCCTAGTTTCCAGAGACAGCTGAGAGAAAAAAACCAGCAAAATGGCTTCTGCAGTGAATGTCCAAATCCTGAAGTCCAAATTTATTGGGCCTGCAAGGAGCTCTACAGTGGAGCTTTTTGCAAAATCAAGGCTTTAGTCTCTAATCAGAGATACATTTCACTGATGACAGTAGAAGTTTGCCTGAAAACTATGAGATTTTTAATTGTAAATATTTTTTTCCCATTCTGGATGCATAAATGTGTATAAAGCACAAAAACTGTAGCCAGCCAGAAACCTGTGACTAACTTGGGTGAGGGCGGGAGTGCCCTCCCATGTAAGGTAGATACATAATTGATTAGATTATTGGACTTAACAAAAAGTTATCAATAGCTCAATGTCTAATTGGGAGGAGGTATCAGGCGGAGTTTCCCAGGGGTTTGTCCTGGGTTAAGTATTGGGTAATATCTTCATTAATGTTTTGGACTAGGGGATCAAGTGCATACTTAGCAAATTTGCAGGCAGCACTAAGTTGAGTGGACTTGCTGACACTGTGGAGGGTAGGACCAGGATCCACAATGACCTGGATAGACTGGAAAAATGGTCAATCAATCAGATGATATTCAACAAGGATAAGGACAAATTCTTGCACCTGGAATGGAATAATTGCTCCACAAATACAGGTTGGGCAATGATTAGCTAGGCTGCAGTACTGCAGAGAAGGCTCTGGGGGTTACAGTTGAGCAGAAACTGAACATGAGCCAACAAGTGCACTCTTGTTACAAAAAAAGCCAACATCGTACTGGATTGTATTAATAAGAGTCTCCTGCGAATTAAGAGAAGTGATTGTTCCTTTCTTTTCAGCACTGGTGAGGCCTCATGTGCATGGGGAACTGGTGCCACCTGTGTCCCCTGCGCCCGATCATGCTGACCAGGAAGCACAAGTGGCACTCCTAGAAGTGCCAGTGGTGCTTCACCTGGCGCCCCCACTTCCCAGCAGTGAGGACACCAGCGCTCCTGCCTGTTCCCCCTGCCTGTCACCTACGCAGGGAGAGCTGCCTGTCACAGGGTGCACCAGCACTCTCAGGGGGTGCATGTGCACCCCCGTGCACCCCCTTTGCGTCATCACTGCTCATGTGGAGTAGTACTGTGCTCAGTTTTGGGTCCCACACCTGAAGCAGGATGTGAACAGATTGGAAAGAGTCCAGTGCAGAGCAACAAAAATGATGAGGAGCCTGGAAAGCAAAATTTAGAAGAAAGGCTGAAATAACTTAAGTTTATTTAGAAAGAGTGGGGACTTGATAACGGTCTTCAAATACCTAAAGGCAATTACAGAGAAGATGGAGATGGACTTTTCTCTGTGGCTGAAGAGGACAGGGCTAGGAGCAATGGCCTAAAGATTCAAGAAGGGAACTTTAGGTTGGAGATTAGGAGGAACTTTCTGACCATCGGGATGGTCAAATGTTTGAATGGGCTGCCTACAAAAATTGTGGAATCTCCATTGTTGGAAATTTTCAAGAGCAGGTTGGACAGACATTTGGCTAGGATGGTTAGTCAGGGCTGATCCTGTTTTGAGCAGGAGGCTGGGTTAGATGACTTCATGAGGTCCCTTCCAGCCTTACTTTCCTATATGTCAGCTCCAGTGGCTGAGTGGTTAGGCCATTTGTCCAGGGAATAGGAGAGATGGATTTTAGGTTACCGCCCCAAAAGGCATTGATGTAGGTCTCTGACTGCTCTAACTACCATACTGCAGATCAGGTGTTATATAGTTCCCTCTTCAACCTTTCTTTTGGAGCTGACTTGCTGTCCTTTGCATTTAATAGGCATTGGATGAATGAACAGAACAAAGCAGAAGTTTCTGCCTCATTGAAGAGCATGAGTCCAGGCTCAAACCTAGGGCCCCCTCAATCCAGAGCATTAGGCATCTCACTGAGCTACATATCCTTCTAGCTTGTCCCCCCATGTTGGCTGCCCAGAAGGGCCAGCTTCAAAAGGAATACTAGAGAGAGACCTGGAAAATACCTAACCCACGGTATGTTATCTACAACACTGAACTGGCAACTCAGAGAAAGAAACAGGTTCAAATCCCCCTGGTCAGGGGGGCTTGGAACCCTGGCCTCTTGCTTCTAGGCAAGTACCCCAACTACTCAGCTGTTGGGGCTGAAACATAAGAGGGCCATGCTTTCTCCCAGACTTATGCTCAGGTACACTTTTACATAGCTATGTACATACATGGCCAGTGTGTAGCCTACTGAGTATGCTCAGCCTATGCATGCATGCTCGCGCACCTACAGTGCAGAGATGGAGCTAAAAGTATCTGGGTACATACCTGGAAAACCGGCATTTAGTCACACAAAAGGAATTTGAATTCTGCCCAAAGTGACTTGCCAAAGGTCACACAGGTGATCCGTAGTGGAGCAATCCAGTCTGTAATGCAAAGAATCCTTGCAGATGCTGTGGCTTTAAGGTCATTGTGAATCAGTCCTTTGAGCACTGGACCTTGTTCTAAAAAGACAAGATCTGTGCAATATTTTCAAAATATTGATAGCACAAACATTAACAATTAATTAGTAAATGTCTCCTTTCAAAATTCTACAGGCTGGATCTGTTACCTACTCTTTAGGTAGCAGTTTCAGAACTTCAGTACTTAATGCTGAAAGACAGCCTGTCTTCCTAGTGACAAAGTTATATACAGGAGTATACATCTCCAGTCTCTTTTTATTGTCCCTTTGACAGGTGTCAGAGTCAGAACTTCTGAACTAGATCTCTCTGAAGTTTCAGTCGGGTTACCTGAGTTCATAATCTGTGAGGCATCTTGTCATTTTCAAACACAGAGAGAAGCTTGGGATCCTTTTCTTTCTGGGTGTTCAGTGTGTCAGTGAATGGTAGGTCATGACAGTTATGGCCACAAAGGTCTCTTAATTAAGTGTATCAAGTATCATTCTAAAGATATGCCCTTACCTGATTCACCCATGGGGCTGCTGAAGTTCCAACTTCATCAGAGACTACATAGCTTGCAGCCAACTGGAACTTGTTTGATCTTAGGTATTCAACTAACCTTTTAGAAAACAGGCTTTCATCAAGAGTTACAGCTAGTTGAAGACTGACTGACTCGAGGGATTCCCAGCTACAGAACCTTTTACCTCTGGGTCACAAGTTCAAATACAACCTAGGTCAGTAGTGACTGAAATTTGTTTTCTGATATGTTTTTGGTGGATTATGTAAAAGGAATTCACAGTTTCATTTCAGTGACAACTGGCACCCTTTTTGGTAGTCTTAGCAGAGACGGCAGTTATTGAATAGCCACAGAGACTAAACTACCTAATCATCTATAAAAATCGTCCCTGCAGTTAAAAAGGTATGTTGTCACATAGGGTGAGGAAGCATGTACTGCTTTTCCCTTGGCTGCGCTTGTCCTATTGGTAGACAGAAAACTTTAACTTTTAATGAAAAAGTTAGGTATCTTTCAGAAGACCTAATTTCATTTTAAAGTAATATTACATCAAGTTATTCCCCCGCTCCCAACTATAAATAGGTCGCTACCTTTTATACACAAGATTCTAAAACCCCAGTAAATATACCTCATATAAAGCAAATACAGACCAGCCCTGCACTCACTGAAATCAATGTTATATTTTGTTCTGGAATTGACTATGTAGCATGTTTGTTTGTCCTAAGGATTTTCATGAAATCACCAGTAGATTACACTTTGAGTTCAGAAGGCTTTTTATAGAACATGCAGTTTTATTAATGTGTAATTTTTTTGTGTTGCTTTCTTGGACCAATATGAACATTTTTTCTGGAATAACACTATCACCTAGTTCATACAGAGCACTTATTAGCAGTTGCCTTATAAAGGATATTGGTATTAAATGCATTGCACAGAAGGGAAAACTGAGGCACAGAGAAGGAAAGTGACAAAGTCATTCAACAGATGAACCTGAAAGTAGAACCCAAGTTTCCTAAATCCCAGTCCAAGGGCACTCACATAGCTAGGAATGAATTTATCCTTTGATGAATTAAACACTGTGCACCCCACTGACTGCCAATCAAAATGGACCATAATAACAAAATATCTCCCTCAACTTTGACAGTTGACTAATATTCTGTTGCAGTTTTATTTCTATCATCAAATCTTTAAATCTTCCTTTTTCTCTCTATGACTACTTTTTAAACATATCCTTACTTCTATCATCTCAAAAGATTCATAGCTACAAAACTACTTAAACAACTTTTTTTTGTATGG